TAATGATCGATATAATGTTGTCTCTCCTTCGACAGTTGGCTATGCGATGGAAATAGGCTGTATTGTGGTCTGCCTCTTTCAACCAGGAAACGCGAGATCTTTGGAACCAGTATGTCTCTTCTTTTTTGAGGGTTAAGAGATAGTCCGGTTTTGATTTGGTTCTAAGTTCCAGCTTTGATGTATCCAGAGGTTGGGTTTCCTCTAGGATATCCAAGTTTTTTATGGTTTCTAACAAGTTGGTTTTGATAAGGGAGAAGTTGACACGGGAGGATTTGCTCCAAGTTTTCAAGGCGAACTGTAGAAGTTGGAGCATGGTCTGAACGATGTACCCTGCTCTACCTGGCACCTGAGATGCGTAGGAGTTCGACCAGGTTTGGACAAGAGAGTGGATATTGGCCTCTTGTGGCCAGTGAAGTTCAAAACGGAAGGGTCTGGGGCCCCTATTGATTGTTTTGGTATCCAAAAAGATAGGGCAGTGCTCTGACATTGGTTTGGGGAGCGCCTGAGACAGAGTTCTCGGGAATTTCTCCTCCCACTCAATAGAGATGAGAAATCTGTCTAGTTTGGAGAGAGTAGGGTTGGTAGAATGTCTGGACCACGTGTATTGACAGCCTTGAAGAGGGATGTCTAACAGTTCATTACGGCTTATGAAGTCTGAGAAATCCCTCATCTCTTGAGAAATCGAGGTTGAAGTATTTCTCTCGTAGGACCAACGAGTGACGTTGAAGCCTCCTTCCACACACCAAATGGGATGTGGTAGGGAGGAAATGTGGTGAACTTCTACCCTAAGCCTTTACCTGAGAGAGCAAGAGTTTGGCTCATAAACCGTCGAAATTTCCATTGGACCCCATCTGAGATGTTGGAGAGTAGGAGGGTGACTGAGAAGTTCCCGACGAAGTGGTTGACTAGAGTCACGTCAGAGGGGTCCCAAACCACCCAAATCCCACCTGAAGCCCCATCGGTCGGTAACGAGATCCATTGGCAAGGCCTTCTGCACACTCGACGGATCAGTTGGAGGTTAGGGTCAAGTAGTTTTGTTTCTAACAGGGCTAGGATGGTGGGGGATAGTTTGGAGGTGAAATCTCTAACCACGGACTTTCTAGAGGCCTGTCCTAAGCCTCTCACATTCCAGATTATAAAACCTTCAGTTTTTGGGAGAATGTAGGTGGGAGGAGGCTAATCTAAGAGACCTCCTCGGGCGGTCCTCTGATGCCGAGGGCGAAGTGAGGTCTAAGGGCTGTCTGGCGAATGGTAAGGAGGTGAAAAGATTGCAAAGTTCCCTTTGTCCTCTGAGTCTCACCTGCAACCTACTCTGAGCGTCGGTTGTCATAAGCTTGTGGGCAGGGCCTTCAGGGCCATCATATTCGAATCCATGAATCTGTACATCGTTAGCATTCTTTCATCAACAATGTTTGGCCTCTCCCTGTTTGCTTCCCTTTGGTGCTCTTCTCTTGGCAAAGCTTGAGAGGAATAGGTGGTGGTCTCTGAAGGATTGATCGAGTCAGAGGTCGATGCTAAGGGAGTAGAGGCCTTTGAGGCCTTTGAAACCGAGCTAAGAGCAGTACCCTGTGCTAGGTCCTCCGGTTCCAAGGAGTTCAGTGCCATCTCCGAGGTACCGTCTTGCTTTTTTGGATGCTCAAAGAAGTTAGCGAGTTCCAAGATTGCTTGGTTCGGAGAAGGAAAGGAACGATTGGAAGGGTACAGGTAAGAAGGAAGAGAAGGGAGAGGCGGAGTAACAGGCTCAGGCGAAGTCGAAGAGAGGGGGTGAAGGAAGGTTGTAGGGGAACCAGGAGGGGAATATGGTAGAGAGCTAAGGGGAACAGGAGGGATATCAATAGGTGAGGGAGTAGGCGAGTAAACTGGGGGGGCAAAGAGTCCCTGAGTAGAGAATGAAAACTGACCGTAAGGGATGTAGGCTAGAAAGAGGCGGGACTAGTAGGAGGAATAGGTGGAGACGGTGTAGGGAAACGATGGGGCCGGACTATCTGGATGGTTTGAACACGTCGAATATGAACCAAGTGAGGGACAAAGGTGATGTGGGGAGACAACAAGTCGGAGAGGAATGCCGGGTCAGGAGGAGAGGGGTCCATCGAAGGGCTGCTACAATGCTTAAAGACACCAAAACTTTGAAGGACAGAGGGTCTGAAAGCTTCTGGCCGAGGAATAGTGGGTCTTCAGAGGAAAAGGGGCAAAGGGAGAGGGAGAAACGACACAGGGAGGGAGGGGTTTGGGAGGTGGGAAGAGGTCCAAGCGGCCTAACCTGGAGGGGGGGGGGGGGGTGGGGGGTGAACTCAAGTCAAGGGGCTGGCATCTGAAGCATCTTCTGGAGGTGCAAGAGGAAAGGAAGGAGGGAAAGAGGGGGATGAAACTGCATGAATGGGCTGCGGAGGGTGCGTACTTCCTGACAGATATGTGGGCACGTGGCCTGGAGGAGATGGGGGCACTGCCTCGTGGCGCGAGGGCGGCAGGGGGAGCGTCGGCGGGGGCTGCTTGCTGTTCTCGGATGGGGACAGCTATACAACTGAAGACGACTGTGTTAGGAGATGAGGGGGGGCAGTCTTATCGACTGACAGGTGGTCAGGAGTAGGTGAAAGGGTGGACACATGGAAGGCGGTGGAGAGGTGAGGAGACCGAGAGCTAATGGAGAGAGAGAGTCGGGCCGATGGTCCTCGTCTTGCGGGTTAGGTTTGAGGGAATGCACATAAGGGGGGTCAGGTTTTAGAGAGTTCTTAGAGCTTGAAGGGCTGGGTCGGTCCTCAAGTCGGGGGGAAAAAGGAGGGGGGGAGTCCTCCAAAACTTCTTTCTTGGGTCGGTGTGAGGAAGTGGGCCTCGCTTGAGGGAAGGGCATGGCTAGAGCACCCTTGCTCTGGTTTATCTGGTCAGGGCCCGGAACTGGGACCCAAGTAGCAGCTTCCAGGGGCTTTCTCTGGATGGACAGGTTTTGACTTTGGCAGCCCGACTTAATCGGGCTTGGGTCTCGGGAATGTCTTGGAGGCCTATCACTTGATCCCTTTTTCCTTTCCACCACTGTCCAGGATGCTGGGTTTTTTGGCACTGAAAAAAGTCGTTCCTGTCTCAGGAATCTGAAGGAGGGGGATGAGGCTTGAGCCTAGGAAGTAGAGACGGGGTAAAAGAGGCCTTCGACTTTGAGCCAGACAATTCGAGGGATCCGAAAGGGATCAAGGACCTCCAAGAGAAGACGAATGGCTCCCAAAGGAAGGAATTCCATAGAGATCCAATGGATGGAAATGAGAGAGCCATAGGCAGCAGCTATTCTACAAAAAGTTTTTGGTGACCACACATGAAGGGGAATGTGAGAAAGGGTGAGGCAGATCCGTTGTGTCTTGAAGGACCCTTCATTCGGAGACCAGACTCGAAGTGAACATGAGGCTCCTTTAAAAGAAAGGCCAGCTAATTCCTGTAAGGCAAGCTGAGCTCCTGTTGAAGATGGGAAAGAGAAGAATTCTCCACACGGTAGGCGACTGCAAATGAGGTTCCAACATCCCCTTGCCCATTTCTCAATCCCTCTAATGTCATCCCGTCTAGGTTTGAAACTTCCAATAAGGGAGGCGTTTAGTCTGGATCTGTAAGCCTCTGACTCCGTTGGGGAAGAAGGAACACAAAACTGGAGGTAAGGAGATGGGCCAAGAGGGTCCGGGAAACGGCGAGCAGGCGATGGGGCAGAGGAAGGAGCTTAAAGGTGAGAAGGGTCAGGAGGGTTAGGGTTGGCTGATTTGGAGGCTTCGACAACTTGGGCTAAGGAAGCGAGGCGAATTCTGGCTTGCGGCAGAGGAAGCTTTGAGTGATGACGAGAAGGGAGATTGCTAGAAGAAGGTTGGAGAGGATGAGTCTTAGGGTACAAGTCATAGATATGAGCCTAGGACGACAAAGGCTAGTAATGGCGACGCTTTCCCTTCATCTTAGATGGACCCAACAGTAACTTTCATCATTCTTTGACTTATTGAACACTCAAATATGTCAATGTCTACATAGCGGTTATAAGATAGTCGTAGTGCGTGGAAGAATTTGATTTTCGTGCCACATTTGGGATTAAATTGGGGTACATGACATGCATGACTATGTTAGGTGGTCATTTGGTCCTCTTGCTTATAAATAATGCATTAAGAACTATAAGGTATAGTCATTGCTTGTCGAAAATAAATAGATTGTTGATCGTGTGATTTTCTTTTTTTTCATTGTGGGATAAGGTTATATTTGTATAATGGACTTCATTAGGGCCATGGTCCTTTGCAATGAAAATGTCAATAATGCCATTCTTATTTATCCTCTACAGGTGGCTAAACACTTGGAACACCCTTTTTCTAGTTAGTAGTCCTATAATTGGTTAAGTTGCTTACCCATTTAAAATATTAGAATGACAATGGGGAAATGGCGAGAGCTGGAGCCCAAACTGAATACAGTTGTTTGAGTTTTTCTTCGTGCTCCCTAATCTGGTATTTATATAGAATGAGCCTCTCAGTGTAATTAGATGGTGCGAAATGGTTATTACTCTCTACAGAAGATTTGATGGTATTGGTTTCTTCGGTGAATCTTGCTTATTTCTTAGAACTTAAATGATGGTTGATGACATAGCTAGTCTAGATGTATGTGGAAGGGTTGGACTGTTGGAGTCAAGGGACAAGGCTTGGTCTTTTTCTTTGTTTTTAATGAAGATAATTTATAATTAAAGTGAATGATTATAAATTTAAGGTTTGTGATATTCCTTATCTCAAGAAATTGATACGTTCTGGGTAAGACTTCTATGCTTATTGTACGAGATATTACTGGTATATTATATCATGTGGTATCATGAATGTATCTTATCACTATTGTTCAAACTCATGAGTAGATCCATTCACTGTATTTTAGTAGTAAGTCCAAGGAATGTACTTATTTGTCATGCATATTAACTTTATGCTCCGTAAAATGTTTAGCTCTTAGATTTTTTATTAGTTATTAGCTTGACAGTTTGATCGGGTTGAGTTTTACTCTGTGGATAGGTGGGGGCCGCAGTTAGAGCAAGCTACGTACAAGAACCGCCAACGTCTTTACCTTTCTGAGCAGGTAACCTTTCTTAGTTGAATTATCTAAAATATTTGTGAGGATGCTATTGTTATTTAAAGTTCTCCTCGAACAGAAAATTGGGAGATACATTGTTGAGACTCATGTACAAGCCATTGTTTTTCTCTTGAGGAGGTAAGTTTAAAAGACATGTTGGTGAATATTTTATGGCATTTCTTTTATGCCAATGATGATCAATTTCTTAGAAAATAAGAATAGTCAACATGTTAACTATAGAAAAGGAGCAATTCCAATTAAAATATAAAACTTTCCAAGTGTATAAAATCTCAATACAATCCCTCTTGGAAGCCCTTATAAATACGAATAAGCTGAATTGAAGCTGGTTGTTTGCAATCAGCATCTCAATAAGATAGGTCTTCATTTGAATCCTATTGAGCTTGACTATCCATATGGGTTGGTTCAAGTTTATTGGATCGATATTGTTATATGGTTCGCGGTCAACCCACTTCTGTTTCCACTGTTCTTGTTTCTCACTTGGTCTTTTTCTTCCAAAAGAAAAAATACCTCTTGCGTGTGCTTTAAGGTTCAAAAGTATTTGTGAATTACATTATGTAAGCTTGTTCCTTCAACTGGGAGACAGGATGGATTGAGCCTATGATACCTCTTACGGAAAGATATTCCTATGCATATGGAATCTGTTTATGTACCTATATATAATATTTGGTTGAGGTTTAAGAATTAATTCTCTTCATGTTTCATTGCAACGTATTATTTGATCGAGACTTGCTCAAAATTTTCAAAATTTGCTTGCGCCCACAATTTCAGAAGCACATGTTCATACTAAGAACATTTACCTACTCAGGTAATTGATCGAGAAGTTATGCGAGAAGGAAAAAGAGCTCCATATGGTCTTTATTGATTTAGTAAAGTTTACGATAGGTACTTATAAATTTAGTTTGGTGGGTATTAGAAAAGAAAGGAGTCTTCAGATGCTATATTGACATAGTGAGAGATATGTGCAAGAGAGCACTAGTTAGTGTGTCGACAACTAGTGAAGAGACGAGTGCGTTTTTAGTGACAATAGGCCTACATTAGTGGTAAGCATTGAGCACACACATTTTTATTTTAGTTGTAGACGAGTTAACTAGACACTTACAAGATGACGTACTGGTGTGTATGTTGTTCGCAAATGTCATAGTTTCGATCAATGAGACTAGAAGCGGCGTTAACGTAAAGTTGGAACTTTAGAGGGATGCTCTAGAGTCTAAAGGTTTTAAAGTCAGTTAGACTAAGACAAAATATATGGACGATAAGTTTGGTAATAATAGGAGTAGAAATGAAGCAATTGTTAATATTGTAGGTCAAGAAAGACCTAAAAGAGAGAAATTTAGATACTTTGAGTCGATAATTCAGGAAAATGGAGAGATTGAGGAAGATGTCGCACATAGAATTATTGCTGGGTAAGCGAATTGGAGATGTGCAATCGGAGTTTTATGTGATCGTCGCTTACCGATGAAGCTGAAGGAGAAGTTCTATAGGACAACTGCGAGACTAGCTTTGCTTCATGGAGTTGAATGTTGGGCAATCAAAATATTATGAAAATGTTGAGATGGATGAGTGGTAAGACAAGAAAAGATAGAATTTGAAATGAATACATTTGAGAGAACTTAGGTGTAGCTTCAATAGGCGCTAAGATGAGGGAAAGTGGACTTAAGTCGGCTAGCCATATGCAGAGCAAACCCAATATGACATCGGTAAGGAGGTGTAATTTTGTTAAAGTGGAAGGCTCTAAAAGAGTAAGTGGAAGGCCCAAAAAAGCATGGATGGAAGTAGTGAGAAAAGATATAAAGACTTATGGTCTTACTGAAGGTATGTCCCTTGATAAAGCAGAATGGTGGGATAGGATTCGTATAGACGACCCCAATTAGTTGGGAGGCTGTGATGATGATGATGATGATGGTGATGATGTTCTTCATACTAAGAACATCTAGCATCTGGTGTAATTTCTTACAAGTTATTTTTGAAATGCTTGGTTATAGAGGTTTCTTTTCTTGAGTATAAAGCCACGCATAGATGCTGTCCTACAATTTGATGCTTAGGGGTTATAGCTAGTTTGAGCGAATCACTTATCGAGGGAAATCGTGAAACAATAATGGGCTACATTTGATCTGCACAAGCTATTCACGTGTAGATCTTGTTTCCTTGCTCTGCTTAATTAAAAAATGCCATCATCTCTGCCTTGCCCGCTTGATTAAAGACCTCCTTTCTTCTTTTTCTATGTAACACAATTAAACAAGTTATAGAAGTGCCCAAATTGGGGCTTGGAGCTTGACTATGTTAGATGTGTGTGTGTGTAAGAGAGAGAGAGAGAGAGAGAGAGAGAGAGACGTACGTGGTCGTACTAGTAGTTTAGTTAGTACTGAACTAGTCACTTACTTACTTTCTTACTATAAGTTATATTAGTAATAATATTATTATTAGTTTGTTTGT